TTCGAGATTTGCTCCAGCGGTACGAGAGTAACATGCTGCGGCGCCCCTGTCACTTGGCGGGGCAAGCGGGTCTGCATGTCCCACTGCCCGTCCCACCGCACGGGTTCCATCATCTTGGGGCCGCCGGGGCCGGGGAACGGTTCGTCGTCGTTTCCGCGCTCTCCGCCCAGGAGGTTCAGGGCTCAGGCACGGAAATCCGCCGATCACGGGCTTAGACCTAGAGGTACCTAGGTTCTTGTTTTGAATCGGCCTGTCGAGCGATTGATCATCGGAATCCTGGGTGTTACGGATGAGTGTTGCTTTTCCGCTACGAGCAGCCGAGATGCCGGTTGCAACCACCGTGGAGTTTGTAATTTGCTTTCTGCAAACTGCCTTTTCCCCGTAACGACGCGGGCAAGCGCGGTGCAGTGCAGTGCAGTGCAGTCCAATGCCAATGATGCAAAGAATGCGCTATTGGCGGTGGAACGAGCCAGTTCGTCAAATTGGTTTGCTGTGGGTTTGTGTCTTCATTTCCAGAGCTTTCCCGAGCCTTGTGATGACGCGAATGGCGACAATGAACCGCGATGACGGTGGCCTTTGGGGAAGCGAAAACGAAGCTAGTGTAGCGAACGAGGCTCCACGGTGATATCTTCGTTGGTAGCTTTGTTTTGTTTCGTTTCGTTTGGTGTTGAGGGTCTGTGGATAAGGTGCGTGCAAAAGTTTCAGAGCAGAACCACTACAGCGACAACTGAGCCTCGGGCTGCAAGTCCACCTACCTAAGGTGCCTGTACTGTAGTGGGGTGCGGATCTTGAACTCTGTCCGTTGAGAGGGACAGCGCGATTGAATTACCCTTTGTGCATATGTACCTTTCTTACTGGAGTTGCACGTTAATGAACGCCGCATACGGGGAAGGTGCAGACTTGTAGATTGTACTTGCAGAATTTGAAGACGCTCCCGTCGTTCTTGCCTGCTTTCAGGTTGGACCGTCGGTTGCTGCCAATGTTCAAATTTCCAAGAGAGAAAAAGTCTTCCAGTATTCAAGGAAAGAGCATGTTGGCCAAACATGAAGTTGAAAAGACTTTTTAGATTTTCAGGTGCCGTTGCGCTCGCAACTCGCAACTTTAGTATTATCGCACCGGCGATTTCCGGTCGTCCGCTCTTTTTTTCACGTTCAATTTTTCAACATGGCCGCCGACAACTCCAGCAAACTCGCAAACTTTTCTCCTTGTCCACTCGCGCGGTGGAGAAAAGCGATATCTCGATCTGGTCTCGACTTTCTAGGCATCGGCTTCTGACTCGCTTGAGCCGCTCGTAGCAAGCGCAAAGCCGCCCGAAGTTGCTAATTGTCCTTCCTCGTGCATTTCGAATTCTTGACCGCCAAATTTGCGAAACCCACCGACTCTACGATGAGGCTCGTTCGCGAAATCGTTTTGAGATTGGCTTGCCCGTTTGGGAGAAGCGCGCGCACACAATGTTTGGCCCGCATGGCAGCGCTCCGGAGTCCCAGTCGTCCACAGATGCCCCCCATTCCCCCCCCTCGGACCAAAATCCGCCGATCGCTCTGGCAAGCGGCCCTCTTTCTGCCCGACATTCTCTGCCATGTAGTGTATTCCGCTTTTCATCGCTTGGCACTGCACCGACCAGGACCGACCAGGGGACAGCGGATTGCAGTCCGGACAAATACCGGATGAACAGCAGACAGCGCGATGCGATGGGAACGGGTTGCCGAGCAGAGGGGATCCATGCCCAGTTCCACTGTTCCAGACTCGCCGTGATGGCCCCGTGATAGCTTCACATTTTTCGAGACGAGACACCACATCCCGGAGCACCACCATCACCACCATCACCACCCCAGACACTACCGAAGACACACGGCCCGGACGCAAGATGAGCTACAGTAAATGACAGCATCATCGTCGTGGAAAGCAAAGCAAAAGGTTCAAATTATAGCATCGCGGATGGCAGACTATCACTAAGCTACACGTTGAAGCCACGATTGCGACAAAAGAAGGCTTCCATCTTTCCCGTTTGGGTCATGGCAATAAGGCTGTGCACCTTATTTCGGGGTGCAAAAAGCACACACTGAACAACACCACTGCAAACCCTTCTGCTCTTTTTGGCCCTCTAGCGCACTGGCCGTCCACTGCTGCAGTCCAGTATGTAACCTCAACATCCATCCGCGCTGGCTGCAACCCCCCTCGATTTCGATTGGCCAGACAGTCCCGTCACCAGCAGCCACCCATCAACTTGAACCCTTTCCAGTCAGTGGACATGTCAAGCCACTGCACCATTGCAGCACCCTAGGGCACATCTCGCTGCCAGTCCCTACGGTAACCCCAAGGAACCATCCGGGCGCTGCGGGCGGCAGGCTTGCGCATCCAATACGTCGGGTATGCGCAGCAGCTTGCACAGCACAAGGAATGAATAAAAATATCTTTTTGATTATTCCTTGACTTCAGAGGATACGGCCACTTTCACCATATCGTAACTACGACAACGGCTACCTCTACGCCTGCAATTGCGACCCCGAGTCCCTACATCTGCGACAAGGACAAGGTCGGAGTATGCCCACACAGTCCTCGATGCGCATCAGATGCCATTGAGCGCCGGCTTGGAACGTTGGCGATCGTGGACGGCAACTAATTCTTGCTTCTTGCCCAGTGGACTCTGTCTCTCTCAGATTCCTGCAGGCAACGGGCAGTTCTGGGCCTGGCAATGGGCGATATGCTTAGGTATGTCTGCAAGCAGAGTGACGGAAGAGTGTCAACTCGGTGGCTACAGAGTCGATTCGAGAGCCTGATGTGCGGTGGTGGGCTCCCCAATCTGGTGCCTTGTCCGCGAGACAGCATCGGTAACTACCTGGGTCTGCTACCTAGCGTGCGACTGACTGAGCTCCTCCGACCCGGTTGTGTGACCGTTGACCGGTCTCGTGATTCACCCGGCTACAGTACAGTGAGCCAAAGCAAAGCGTCCATCATCGAGTTTGTACATGTCTTGGAGTGAACAGGACGATGGATGTAATCTCCCCATCTTCAGATGACTCCCGCGCAAGACAGTGCTTACACCCAAAGACACACTAGAAAAGTAAAAATGCGTAGGAGAAAGAGAGCTCGGAGGCGGAAAGACACGATAGGCACAGCACCGGCGCGGTCTGCAAAGAACGGTGCGGGGAGCAAATCGCCATGCTGGAGTCCCAAAGGCTCGTGCTGTCCTCCCAAAGACAACCGATCCAGGGTTCTGCCTCACACTCTCATTCCTCGCCTGTCCACTGCGTCGACTCTTCAGGATCCCACGCTTGTATGATGTCCAGACGAGATATGACTGGTCGTTCGGATCATGAGAGATGGAAGAAGAAAAAAAGATAGCAACAAAAATGACATCCAGGGGCGAGGACGGATTTGCGACAGCATGTCTCGTTTCCGGATGCTCTCTTGAGCTCTGGGAAATGCTCGACAGACGGCGTGCCAATTTCCAACCCGCGAGCCCTTCCTGGACAGGGACCAGGGACCGTGACCTTGACCTTGGCTTGGTCCGGATACATACGGGGGAGATCAACAGCACAGGAGACGGGAACTAGACTGATAAAATAACCAATAATTACCCAGTCCAGAACCCAGATGCCATTATCTTGATGGTGGGCGAGAGACGGGATCAACTGGCTCGACCGTGTAGAATTCAACATCACCAGTCACCACCTCAAACTAGCGATCGATATTCGGGGCCCTGCTCCATCCATACTGTGCCGGTCGAGAGGTGGTCTTGGACTCTTGGTGGTGGTGTTGCTGTGTCGGTATCCCGTACGGAACAAGCACTGCACATACCAAATGGTCTCTCGAGAGGTCTTGCCAAGTCGCTTCACAACCCCCTCTGGCCCCGTTCACCCAACCACACCATCGATCCAAAAGGGCTCGTGGGTGCAGTCGTCCAAGTGGCCAAGTTGTGGTCTGTCGACGAGTTGGGACATGAGAAGACAGGGGTGGCCGGTGTTGATGACGGTACAAGGGTACCTTCACAGCAAATCCACGGTTGGCGCCCTCAGGAGCATGAGCCCCATTCAGTGGACGGGCAGCAGGGTCGGCGATGGTGCAACTCGCTACGTAGCTCCCAAGAAAGTCTCTCGGTACACACACCTCTGTACCCTGCCCCCTCTCTCCCACACCAGCACCCCCTGTCTCTGCCCCCTAGCCCCTGCACCCTCGCCCTGTCCCTGTCACACACTCTTGCGTGTGTACGCAGTACATTCCCAACGCATGTACTACGCCTCGCTCGCTGCTCGCCGGCCACTGGAGCCCTACCAGATCTTCCATGCCCACCGAGCTCCACGCTCCTCCGGGATAAGAGCAGTTCGTCAGAGGCTCCGAGTATATAGAAACCTCACACACCCCGATCGTCTTGGAATACGCCTCTCTTGTCCCTTTCTTTCACCATCAGCCCAGGAACAAGAGTGTTTAGATCGACTGAAGCTTCTAACAATATCCCAAGTTGGATAAGCTCAGCACGAAGGATCATAATCAACACTCCTTCCGACTCACTCCCACCGAAACACTACAACAAAAAAACATCAAGGGATCAGGACTGATCAAAGGACGAAGGGTATTTTGGAAAATCAGGACACTCGCGTCAACCGATAATCCGACACACCGATCATTACCACTCATTACCACCACCGGTCACTTCATCCGTGATTCCGTACTCACCACGACCCGAGGTCTCAGTCACGGTCTAAGACTCACTACCAAGGAACCGCTCCCTTTGATTGATTCCCGGCTTCCACTTGCGTTTTGTTATAAACCGGCACCTGCGAACTATCCAGTCACTCTGATTTCGAAGACCTTGAACCAGTGTATCCACTTGTGAAGGTGAGTGACTGACGGATCATAGTGGGCTCCGAATTCCCCAGCGCAGTTTGACTGATATGCAGACTTGCAGCGAAAGGATTGTGGCTCGTTGTTAGCAAGCCACCATATCTTCGACGCTTCCACTCCCATCACTAGAAAAGTCCTGCTCCGACGAATACACAATGCTTTACCCAGAGCCCCCACAGGGAGGAATGTTCTCAACTCCCGTAGATATGGGCATTTCTCCTGAATACTACCCACCCCGATCCCAAGAGTACGAAACATCGATGGCCTACGACCCAAACACCACTTTGTATGCCGATACGCCATACAACATGTACCATGCGAAGTCCCCCAGCCTGTATCCCGAAGACTCCAACCTGAGCGTCGACAGCCGCAGCGCATCCTCATCAAACGCCGGTTCCCCCCTCTCAAATCCTGGCAACCTAGCCTCGTGGGGAGCTCCTTCGGGCCCCGGTGTGAGCCCCGGCATTGTCGACCAAGGCGAGTACTTCCATGGCAACGAGTACTCATTCGCGCCTCTTGATGGCTATAACCCCAATTTCGAATTTTCGAATCCCAAAGGCCCCGGCTTTGTTGGTGAGTTTGAACAGATCCCTAGATCTCGTCTTTCGCCGTCTCAGAGCCTTCTTTCCCCCTCCTGTGTTTCTTCTTCTTCCACATCCTATGCCATAACGCCCAAGACTGGTCTGGTCCTCGACACACGCCTGCCGACAAGCCCGGCGACCCCCTCCACGGTTTCAACTTCTTCATCTTCACTGGCTTCCAGCCGTGTCTTTTCTCCTGCCACTTCTACTTCTTCCTGTTTCCCATCTCCTCCACTCCCCGCCTGGGGTAAACACTATGTGGACCGAAGGCCCCAAACTTCTCGCATGATTTCCTCTTTCTTTTCTCAGTCAAGCGGGCATTTTGTTCCTCCCCTTGATTCTTCGTGTTGGTTTCCTCTGTCAGGTCTCGAATCTTCCTACCAAAAGCGGACTACTGACTCGACCCCTTCTCGAACAGATCCTTCCCTGATCCACCCCGAAGTTCGATCGATGGCGATGCCTAGCTACGAGCATATGTACCCTGCCCCTAGCTCCGCATATCCTGGCTCACCCGCTCTTTCCGCATCTCCTCAGCTCCGAACTGGCAGCACGTCACCTTTCCTACAAAGCAACAACTACCCTACATACTCTCCCTTCCCAGCACCTCTTGAGCCACAAAGGAGGCAAAGCCTGGTTTCATACCAGTCCAACTTTTCCGAACAGCCATATAGCGGAGACGAAGCTTCGAAGGAGAAGCAGAGATGTCCTCATCCCGAGTGCGGCAAGACCTTCAAGGATTTGAAGGCTCACATGCTCACTCACCAAACAGAAAGGCCAGAGAAGTGCCCCATTGCGACATGCGAATATCATGTCAAGGGCTTCGCGAGAAAGTATGACAAGAACCGTCATACTCTAACACATTACAAGGGAACAATGGTGTGCGGCTTCTGCCCGGGCTCCGGCTCAGCGGCCGAGAAGTCGTTTAACCGTGCCGATGTCTTCAAGCGTCACTTGACAGCCGTTCACGGTGTAGAACAAACACCACCCAACAGCCGCAAGAAGACGCTCGGTGTCAACAGCAGCTCTGGCAACAAGCTGACTGGCTACGCACCCGATGCCACCGGCAAGTGCTCGACATGCTCTCAAACTTTCAGCAACGCCCAAGACTTCTATGAGCACTTGGACGACTGCGTGTTGAGGATTGTGCAACAAGAGGACCCGGCTGAAGCCATCAACGCGAGGCGGTTGGCCGAGGTGGAGAGCGATCGCGAAGTCCACAACACTCTCGAGAAGAACAACCTCCCGACTACCACGACAATGACCTCCCAGATGGGTGATCTCGACGAAGATGAAGATATGGCGGATGAGGACGACAACGAGGATTCCGTCTCTGGTCGTGGTTCCAAGAACTCGCCTTCCAGAAAGACCAAGGGCAACCCCGCCAACGGTGTGCAGAAGTCGCGAGGTCTCACCCACTCCCGCGGTGGCGTCACCCTCCAGAGCAAGACGCGTGGTCGCAAGAACCGCCGCGACTACCCTTCCAGTTGGGGCTTCGACAAGGGTCAAATGACCATGAAGAAGCGGGTCGTTGCTGTTTTCGATGGACCCCGTCGTCTGGCTAAGGACGACATGATGTTGTCGACCGAGCACGAGGTGCGCATCAAGCTCCAGGATGGCAAGTCGTATGTGACGGATCTCGATGTCCAGACTCTCAGGAGGACGGAGGGCTTCCTTAACGCGACAGAAGAGGAGAAGGGCCCCTGGATTTCGGATGACCCGACCGAAGAGGAAAAGGAGGAGGCGAGGAGGTTGCTCATGTTGCAGTAATGCAATCAATGAACTGGGGTCGGGTTGGACTAAAATAACAGCTTCTTGCTTCTTCTAATGTTTCTTTGCTCTCTCTCCTCTGCCATGGCAGGCAGGAAAATGATACCATAAACTAGGTTTGGTGGCTTTCTGGATAATAACGGTGGGATGGAGTTTAAACCGGGAGGGGAAATGATGAGGAATATCCATTTAGCGACAAGAAACCACGAGAAGGTTTCTTCTCTTATATCCTTTTATGTTTCTTTGTATTTTCCCCTTCTCTTTATTATTTTTTGGCCAGGACTGGTTGGGAACAGGGAAGAGGGACGGGATAGGATGAGGATAAGGGGCCTCTTCTAATGATTGAACGAGACAGACATAGCATTTGTCTGACATAACTCCTCTACTGTACTGGGTGGGCGGCACGGTCGGTGGTAAACCGGGAACAGGAAACGGGAACGGACGGGTCAGGGTTATTTATACCACACATCTGGATGGATGAATGGATGGGTTCGGATGAATACCAACATCCTTGTCGACGGCTTCGTGTTTTATGATTAACATTTTTGTTCTCGGTCCTCTCTCTCTCTCTCTCTCTCTCTCTGAATGGTTGCCATGGCATACGTCTCTCTCTCTCTCTCTCTCTCTTGTCTTTTTCTTGAACTTGAACTTGGGCATTTTCACCCTTTCTGTATGTATGATATTTGTAAGGAACACATCACTGACTTGCGGTGACATGATACCCCCAAACATCTTGCTTTTCGCCAACGTCTAACACCCGAGTACCTTTCTTGCTTACTCGTTCACCACTTACATCGGCTCACATTTGCGCGCGCTTAACAGCCGCTCGTTTTGAATGACTTCATCTAACCCGGTTGTAATGATTTGTCTCTCTTCATCTATTTTTCCCGTGCATACTTCGGTACCGAGCTAGATCTGTCGTTACAGCATTCACACATTTGGATAGATCTTAGTCTCATCGGGTGGCTGTTGAAATGATGGGGGAAAGTAACAGATGGTTTGTGGCAAGTTGAGATCACAAGCTGGAAACTAGAAAATATTTTTGGAATAATCTTCAACGCTGTTGTTGTCCCATCCGTCGCTGACCGTCACGTCTGACATTTCATACATACTCTTGGCTCCATCCAGCCTACATATATCCATCTATAGAAACCTAAATATCCCAACCCAAGTCGACAACTTCAGCGTATGATGCCTTTCTACTTTGCTCACTTTGTTCCCACACTGCATCATGGAGATTGATGCAAACCGAGGGAGGGAATCTTGGCAAAGGAAAAGAATATGTGGCAAACACGGCAGGAATGATGTAGAAGTTGGAAGGCACGGATGGCGCAGATGGTACAGATGCGGCACTGGACTGACACTCACTGAAGAGGGAAAGAACGTTCGGCTCATGTCAGTGGTACTATTGCCATGGCAGTCCTAGGTCCTGGCACACTATGTTTGGCCAACAATCTCGGATTTGCATCGCAGTTGAAGGTACGGTAGGTAGCCGTGGTGTAAGAAACGTGAGCGTTCCCTCCATATCTATATCTGTGAAATGCTAGCAAAACGAAGTTGAAGTTGAAGCAGTCACGACGCTGACTGAAAACTAGAGGTAGGTGCGTGAGTTGGAAGGCAAGAGCGAAGGGAAAGAAATCCGCGCAACATCCCGATCCAGAGCAGTCATGCTTAACTGAATACTGAATATTCGACCCGAATGCCAGAATGGCAGCATCAATAGTACTCGAGCCAAAGAGTGCGGACACCACTTCGCGATGATAATGGAAAACAAAACAGTGCTATGGCTTCGGTAATGCCCCTATTGTGACCCCTGTTAAGTTCTATACATGTGATGTTTGTAATCAGGTCCATATCACTTACCTGTATCCAGGCCTTATTGATGAACTCGTCCTACTTACAATCCTCTCCGGTTTTGTTACTTCCTTGTCTCTCACTTGTTTATTTTCGTCAGTGCCTCTCTCTGCCTGCTTCGCAAATTCCGTCCGATCATACTGCGTGTACATAGGCGTATGAAAGAAACACGGTGGATATGAAGCCGTAATTGCATCCAGGTAGAACTGTCAGGTGGGCAAGACACTTCCGAGGCTGTGAAGATTGAAAAGATCCCCTCGATGTCTGGGTAGAAAGATGAGAAGAATGATGACAGATATTCGTCTTACTGTAAACCGACAGTAGGACAATGTCTGCCTGCTCTGCGTGATTGATTGAGTAGGTCCGGGTGTTCAAGTAAAGGTACCTTACTCGACACTATGGGTGTTTGATCGTGGCGCAGACTAGGCACTCGCGGTAACGTACACAGAGAGAGAACGGACGTCTATGGCATGCTCATGTAACAGGCTACGTAACAAACTGATGAGGCCGCTTGCGATGGTATGGCCAGGTCCACGAGAGATTCATGGTAGTTATTTTCAGTCCCCGAATCGGACATGGGTCCTACGTACTAGTATTAGCTTGCTGTGCCGCATACCCTCTGGGACCATCCATATCTGAACTGTTCTGCGAGGTTTGTTGAGCGAAAATCGGATGTTGACGACATGGAGTGAATACCAACACAACCGGGACGATATTCGCGACCGAGTCCCAGTACGATGAGGAATATCGCCGTGTTCGCACACGACAAAGCAGCTTCTATTGAGACATAGGTATGACGAAATAAGCATTCACGGTCTGGATTCCATGGTCCATTGGTAGTCCAATTGTTCTTTCCCTTTTCATATCGCGCACCTTCTTGTATACCCCGAGGCTCCGGCAACCACCTGTCTAGGGAAGGCACGAATAGCTTTCCATACCGCACTGAGAATCTTCTCCGATCGCCACTGCCAGCTGACCCCAGTTGATCGATGTGGGAAAGAACAGAAAACTCCAAGTTCTCTTTTTCCTAGACTGGTTGCCAGATGACCACCACGGCCATGTTGTTCCTGGGACCCGGCGTCCAGTACTTTAGCGAGTCGACCTTTAACCAAGGTCTTGATTTGCATCCAAAGACCTGAACAAATCTTCGGACCTCGTTATTTCAAGATCCATGAAAATTGTCTTCAATTTCACGTCAGCCGGGTTGGTCCCTCGCTTCAGTCAGTGTGTCCACTCTTGTTTCTCGCTTCTCCTTTCCAACTCTGGTTCTCCGGAGTCCTCAGTGCTCCATTGACGGGCAGCCGGCAAACTTCCCAAATTTCCGGGCAAAGATTGATACACCACGGTCATGCGGCCAAAACTCTGTCACGACAAGTTCTCTGAGGTATTCCTTTCAATCCACGAACCGAACCCTTCAGTGCCTCACGCGGTTGTTGATCAACAGCTTTGTTGTGGAGAACGTCAAAAAGCGTGCCACTAAATGGAGAGTCAATGCCCTAAACCCTTATCCCTCGTCAGTCTGGGCCCACCAAATTTGTTTCGAGGGCTACCCCGCCAAAGTCGCGAGAGACACCCGCTGTGATGGGCGGATCGCTTCGCTCGCCGGTGCGAGTTGATATATTGGAAGAAAGTGCAGATATCCTTTTCTTCGATACGTATAGGCGAGCTCTCGACAGCGGCAATTGGCAAGTTGAGCAGGATAGCACCCAGTGTTGTGCGAACGAATCAGAATTTCGAGACCACACAAACGGCCTCCTCCGGTCAAGATCTTGACACATCCTACCTACCCACCTACCGGTACCTGTGAGGATCAGAGGATCTTCATCTCTCTCCTGGTGCGATTCGAGCCTCAAGCAAATCTTCTGCAAGGGCCAGGCGTCTGGTCATCACATCGCATCACACAACATCACATTTCTCACTCACCTTCGCGACCTTTTCTCATCACATACACACCACACCAAAACTACCTCTCACCAAACACTCACCTATTTAGGTAGCTCCCCAACGGATCAGCACTCGCTGATCGAAACCAAACATCCAATTCACCTCGTCCCACCCATAACCAACCAAAATGGCCCTAACAGCCCGCCTCTCCTTCATCGACACCACCGAGAACGAGCCCGAAGGTGACCCAGAAGATCTCTTCGCCGGCTCCCTCGGCGTCATCTTCACCGACGACGTAACCAACCAGCACGGCGATGCCTCCACCGCCCTCCATTACACGTCCCCGCACCTCTCCAAACCGCTGCGGATCGAGCTCTCCGACCCGAAAGCGGCTCAAGACCGCTCGCTGTTCAGCCACTTCCTGTGGAACGCCTCGCTTTTGCTGGCCGACCTGATTGAGGCTGGCACGCTGGGCTTGCAGGCTGGTGGTGACACAACGGGAGCCGGCGCGGGGACGGTTGAGCTTGGTAAAAATGTGCCGGTGCCGCCGTTGAAGAATTTTGATATTAGAGGAAAATCGACAATCGAGATGGGAGCTGGCACCGGGCTGCCGAGCCTCATGGCTGCGTTGTTGGGGGCTAAGAGGGTGCTGGTGACTGACTACCCGGCGCCGGTGGTGATTGAGAATTTGACTAAGAATGTTGAGTTGAATCTGAAGCATCAGGAGGCCGCAAAGGATGTCGAGGTCGCAGTCGAAGGACACGGGTGGGGCGAGCTGGAGACGCCGCTTGCGGTTGAGAACAAGGGCGCGTTCGACCGCGTCCTATGTGCCGACTGCCTGTGGATGGAGGAGCAGCACGAAAATCTGCGGAGGTCGATCGCCTGGTTCCTGAGCGACGACCCGGAAGCCCGGGCGTGGGTCGTGGGCGGCTATCACACCGGTCGGAAGAAGATGCGGGGATTCTTTGACGACGAGGAGCTGAGGAAGCTCGGACTCGAGGTGGAGAGGCTGTGGGAAAGGGACTGCGACGGGATTGACCGGGAGTGGGCGTGGGATCGTGGAGCGGAGGATCTGGACATTACGGGCCGGAAGAGATGGTTGGCTATTTCCGTTCTGAGGAGGATACGGAAGGATGCGGAGGGTGGCAAGGCTGAAAGGTGAACAAGGGAGATGACGATGGCTGACGGGGTCTTGACTGGGACGTCAACAGTCGTCTCGGTGCTGCTTGGAATGCAACTGACGATACTGGCACAGTCGAGAAATGACATATGTGACTGCGTATGGATCCCGGCGCATGTGAATCAATATTGAACACGCAGAGGGGTTCAGAAATCGATCCCGGCAAGTTCTCTTCCATACGAAAATTCCATGGTCCCTTCAATGATCGACCTTGGCTCTCCATTGTGTCATCCACCTCGTCCGGATACCTCCGATTACGTCTGTTCATCAACCCGGAACGACGGATGAGGGGAGTGGTGGTGTCGGCGGTCAGGTCGTCGATTAGGGCGAGCCTGTGAGGAGGGTACGAAAGTCTGAGGTACCGATCTGGGCGGGCGAGCCAGGTATGCAAATACCGAGATCAGGCACTGGCCAGAAAGTGAGGTTATTCACAAACCACAGGTCTGGCGACGGTGTCGTTACGACCCCCTTTTCCAATTCGCCACACCTTATTGGAGAGAAGCTTTCTCGCTCGGGGAACGATCTGCGCCTGTCTCGTAGAGGCCCTGGACCCTGTTTGATAATGCAGCCTAACCCGGTTTCTAACAGGAACTGACACGGGTAGTTTGACGAATGAATGAATGAATGAATGAATGATGAATTTTACGACTACGTTCTACTACTAATAGATAAGTTGTGCCCGCGACGGTGGCTGGGCAGAGGTATATAAATGCGGGGAAAAGCTTTATAAGTTAACTAAGTCGGACCCTAGCGTAGCCGTGTGCTGGAAAACCCTAACTTCTTTTGTATATTTAAAATGATATTATTACTTCAGGCTCCCTATACCTGGCATCGTCTGAACTTTCGTATAGGGTAGCGGTTCGTCGTCTGGGTCCAAAGTCTTTATTTTAACTACTTTTTGTTAACGTGTGGCTAGTACTGTGCCTTGTAGCTACCTTGTACTATCTTGTAGTATAGAAGGCTGATTGAACTATTCCTTCTATGGAATTAGTCCACTCAGCCTCTACAGAACGTGCTAGAATATAGGGGTTTTGCCACTATATTCTGAGATTTTCTAACTTGTTTAGCATTTCTTCTAGACTAATTTGTCATCATGAAATGCATCAGAAGCTTATAGATCCAGTTCATTTCTTTTATAGTATAATGATTCTATACTCTGGAAGCTTCTAGATACTTAACGTTTGTGTATATGAAGATCTCTTCTCTCCTTTAGTTAGTCACTTCTTAAGTAAGCAAGCAAGCACAATCAAGCAATACAATACAGTCTACTCCTATAGTGCAGAATTCACTATAATAGTTGTTTCTCACAATGTAGAATTCACTATACTCTTCTGTCTTGAGAGCAGAGTTCTCTCTAAGATCTCTTTTACAACATCCCTCTATTGTCTTTGCAACTACGCTGCTTTCTTCAGCACTGCTGTCGTACTTCTACCGCTTCCGCTCCGCTCTGCTACAAGTGCATAGTTCACTGTAGCATCTTTATACTAATGCTATTATTATAGGCCAGTTAGGGTATTGCAGCAAATAATTTACTAAGTATATTAATTTATTAGTTGCTTAATGTAGATTTAGATCCATTTCCGGAGGGAATGTTTACTTCCTAATTTTCTTTAATTGTTTATTCGCTCTTAGAATTATTTAAATTTCAAAAATTAAAAAATAGAAGATATAAATTTCATTAGAGAGTTTATTGTTTAGTAAAAGAGGTTATAATTTTACGAAAATGTATAATTTAAAATGGTTTGATAAAGGAGGCCGCTTTAATTTTTATATAAAAGAATAAAAGTTTAGGAGCTTAAATAGTTTTACTAGTATTTTTACTATTTTCTTACTTATAATTTTCACCAGTATAGTATTTATTAATTCACAAAGTATTTATTTAAGTACTATACCTTACATTAATATAAATTTCTTAAATATTTTAAATACTGTCATTTCTAATTCGTAAAATACTAAAATTGTCACAGCGTAACTAGAGGGCACGTTGTGTATGATTTGATTAACTTGGACTAAGAATAAAAAGCTGAACAGGGAAGGAATCCCAATGTCACAGGTTGACATTGGCTATATAGTGTATATTCCGAGTTCTGCCTTGCAAGCAGAACATCGTCCTATCTTTTGTAGGTCTGGCCGTCTGGGCATGTGCACCCTAGTATCACGGGGCAAGGCCAAGGTTAGGGGTAGGATTGGATATGCGTAGTTGTACGAGGACGGAAAGAGAGAGGTGTGCGCCGGTCTGGCGATATGGGGCAAGGCACGAAGGCGATGCCCAGAGCTGGGACCAGCGCACGTGCCCATGCACGTGATGTGCTAGTCACAGGTAATCCTGTGACACCTAGCTTGTCATACAGCTGGCACCATCTGAGCTGTGATATGCCTGCCATCAAGGCTCCTATTCACATGGGTGCTGTTCAATTGGGCCATCCTATTCACGGGTTTGGTTGTCACTGGTTGTCGCCTGTGGTCTGGGTATAAAACCCAGCTCTGGCATTGAGCCTTCCCTTTTAGGATTCCTTCCTCTTCAGCTTCTTATTCTTAGTCCAAGTTAATCAAATTGTACACAACGTGCCCTCTGGTTACGCCGTGACAGTAAGAGTGCTGTAAATTATATCAATAGTTTTAATGGTTTTTTTTTACAGTTTGAAATCGTACTTAGAACTTTTGGATTAACTGTTTATTAGTAACATAGGAATTTAGAACTTTATACTCAATATAGGAGGTTACGAGAATAAAGCCATATTATGTGTAAATAAAAGGTAAAAGAGAAATGATCTGAAAAGAAAAGCCTGGCTTCTGTAAGGGCTCTACGAGGTATACATGCAGGTAGGCCTTGGTAAAAGTGATAATATTCGACAAAGAAGAAAAGGGAAGCCTGTGCTGGTATGGCATGAAGCTTACAGCTAAATACACAAGAGAGGTGCGGATATCGAAGGTGCTAGAAACGCCAAGGTCGAAAATGTGGTTCGTGCGGCGCACCTCAGGAGTGCACCCAGTCGGAGGGCAGGCCTGGCTTGCATAGAGTTCAAGCCAGGCAAACATCCCTAGGCGCCAGCCCCATGACAGCTTCCAGTCAGCCGTCTACACGCAGTAGATATGCAGCGCAGTGAGCTAGGTAGCCCGAGCGTAGGGCAACGGCTGAGTAGGCACCAGAGCCTCCATAGCAGCTCGGCTAATCTGGGCTGTCACGACTAGTATAAGCTATAATACAGGTTATGGCTAACAATACCAGTGTCACAGGTTGACATTGGC